CGCAAGCATGCACGCCCGCTCCGAGCTCCCTAGTGTCGGTCCATGACAAACTGAAGATCATGACAAAGATTAAGACGAAGATGAAGATTAAGATGCAGATGAAGATGAAGATGAAGATGAAGATGAAGATGAAGATGAAGATGAAGATGAAGATGAAGATGNAATTTTACTATCAAGCTTCAATTCATCCGCGCGTGGGGACTTTAAGCATTCTTTTTTATACTTTACTACTTTTTTGTCCTGAGCTTCATATACATATGTATGTTTCTTGCTTATACATAGTTTCCACTTCTTCTTTTTTTCTCTTTCAGGCCACTGGGTGACACCCATCATANTTGAAGTAATTTTACTATCAAGCTTCACTTCATCCGCGCGTGGGGACTTTAAGCATTCTTTTTTATACTTTTTTGTCCTGAGCTTCATATACATATGTATGTTTCTTGCTTATACATAGTTTCCACTTCTTCTTTTTTTCTCTTTCAGGCCACTGGGTGACACCCATCATAATGGCAATGTACCTGTTGATTGCCAACATTTTGCTCATAAATCTGCTGATAGCTGTTTTCAACAACATTTTCAACGAAGTGAACTCCGTTTCGCATCAGGTGCGCATTGCTTTTGGTGCTGTTAGCATTTCAACACCGTTTGCTTTCCCTCTGCACTTGAGCATCGCTGAAATAAGAAATTAATGAAAATTCTATGCAAATTTTATTTCTCTTTTTTATGATGCTGCTTAATGTGCGCCATATCCAACTGTTGCTGCTTGCTGCTGGCGATTGCTGTGATGTTATTCCTGTTGCTCTTATTCCTGTGTGTGCCACATCCCTATCGCCAATTTATGGCTGTGTGTGGGTTCGTGTGATGTGACTGGATAATGATGCTAATGCCTGCCTACCCTGCTGTGGAACGTCTCGTCTTCTTATTTTATCGTTTGTGCGATTGTGTTTAGGTTTGGATGTTCCAACGCTTCACTGTCGTCATGGAGTATCAACAAAAACCCGTACTACCACCACCATTNCGATTGCTGTGATGTTATTCCTGTTGCTCTTATTACTGTGTGTGCCACATCACTATCGCCAATTTATGGCTGTGTGTGGGTTTGTGTGATGTGACTGGATAATGATGCTAATGCCTGCCTACCCTGCTGTGGAACGTCTCGTCTTCTTATTTTATCGTTTGTGGGATTGTGTTTAGGTTTGGATGTTCCAACGTTTCACTGTCGTCATGGAGTATCAACAAAAACCCGTACTACCACCACCATTCATTGCACTCTGCCATTTCTACTCGTTGCTTAAGTATTGTATACGTAAAGCGAAAGGTGAGAGAGGGATGAGAAAATTAAATTTTATTCCCTGTGAGTTTATATACTAACGCTGTGAATATATTTAACCAAAAATATTATTTCCTTTTCTTCTTGTTGCGCTGCCGTTAACGGTATCGTTCATGGCTGTTACACACGAACATATAAACATACTCCTCCACAACATACATACATACATTTGTGCACATGCATTGCAAATTTTTTATGTTTACTAACGGTATTGAAATTCCAAAAAAAAAAATGGCTATCGCAAACATGCACACATCGCACTAAAACGCACAAAAAAAAACATTTATAAAATCATTTCAAATGTGAAAACTAACCAACGTAACTAAAAAAAAAAACTCCCTAACACCAATACACTCAACCACCTTCATGGAATATGCGCATCGTATTGAACAATTTCATTTCATTGCCGATGGTTTTGGAAAATTGCATTCATTGCTGTTGCCGCTGCTGTTGTTGCTGTATTTCACAACTGCCACATGTGGCACATTTGCCATTCATGCCACATCATTCCAAACTAAACATCGTGTCACTGCAATAATACATTTAAAATATTTACACTCACCACACTTTATGGGCCATCACCGCTTGTCGCATCTTTGCCACTGCATTTGATGGTAATAATGATGATGATGATGATGATGATGATGATGATGACAACGACAACGATGGTGACTGTGACGGTGTTTATGGTGATGACACCATTGGTTACATCTGTTCAATCACACGACACATCAAAATGCATGCTCACGCACATACATATGTACATCCAAACATGCGCGCATACAAATAACCGTTTATTTATAAAATTTGTTATACTCTCAATTCTGCAATAATCCAACAAAACTGATGATGTCTTTGTATGTTTGTTTTTCTAAAAAAAAAAATTAAAACTAACTGCAATTATCTACAAATACTGACCTGATATCTAACGAATCAATTGGTTGCCATACCAATCAAATAAAATTCAATAAATTTAACACGAAAATAAAAAAACGGACAACAATCCCAACAACTTGGAATCGTCAACAAAATCAACTTAAATAAATATCTATCGCTGCTATGTCAACAACATCGAAAACGAAACTGCTTCTTTCTGCATATCAACAACACTTGCAATAATAAATGTCATGCGCAACCACCATTCGACAATAACAACGCCGCCACGCGCCGCAACATTCAACAAACAAATTCTGTCTCGATTTCTGTGAATTCATCTATTCAAATCCACTGCTCCTAAACTCCTTCCCCCATATGCGCCCACATGCGCCCTAATATGCAAATACGCCAACTTCAAATAAATAAAAATCAAATTCGTACCGCTCATCAGGATTGGAGGTACAACGTGACAATGGCTTAAAATTGTTTCTCGAAAAGGATGATATGGAGCGTTTGTACGACTTCGAAGAGGAATGCGTTGAGGGTTTCTTTCACGAACAGGAAATCATATTGAATCAATCGACTGATGAACGTGTGAAAAATACAACGGAACGTGTTGAAATATTGGCACAAAAAATTGAGGATATCAATCAAAAGGAGAATGTACAAACGGCCACTGTGCAGGTGAGTTGGAAATAATGAATCTTAAATAAATACATACCCTCGTGGTCGGCTGATTAAGTCAGGTGGCATTTTGACAAGTTTTGGCTATTTTTTTCTTTTGTTTATTTAATGTTGATATATTTTTTATAAAAATCTAGCACTTTACCTAACCAGCTCCACATAAATCCTCATTTCAAACTTATGAATTTTCAACAAACTGTAAAATTTGCACCCAAAAATTTTAGATTTTTTATTCGGAGTTTTTAGACTCGACAATTTCGTTTGTTTAAGAGAAAATGCCTAGCACCATCAGCAAAAAGGAAAATATTAAAAATCAACGCGTTTTTCTAGCGTCTTGAAATTTGCATTTTAACCTACTAAAATTTAATGAGCATACCTAAAAATTTTCTAAAAATTCAGAATAAAAAGTTTAAAATGTTCGGGTGCAAATATTAAAATTCGTTGAATTTTCAAAATTTTTTTACGAAGTTTGAAATGTGGGTTTATGTGGCGCTGGTTAGGTAAGGTACAAAACTTTTATAAAAAAAATACAAACATTAAATAAACAACAGAAAAATATGTAAACTAGTCAAAATATCACTTGACTTAATCAGCTGACCACAAGTGTATATACAGTGGCGGGCAAGCAAATAGGAGGACGTAATTTTAACAAGTTTCTTTCTAATTTTCTTTCGTATACCTTTTTTTTCATTAAACAAATTTCTTATCGCCAAACTGTTCCTCGGGACCAATTTCTGTTCTGTGTAAACGTAAAGCAAAACCATTCTTTATCACTTCACATAAAAGTTCAATTCTGTTTTCAAACGAAAACAGATAATTAAAAACAAGATTTTAAGGGCAAGCTTTTATTCGCGATTAGAAAAAAAAATAAAAATAAATTCGACCCTGCACCACCTAAGGGAACGTACCCATACTACGTGACCCGTTCAGGGGGGGGAGGGGG